ATACATATGTATGTGTACTCGATGCACTGTGCAATATGTATTGCCAATATAAGCGTATGTACATAAGTATATATATGTATGTATGCATGTGTGTGTGCGTGAGCGTGTGTGTTTATGTGGTGTGTTTGCCACGTCCCGGTATGAGACAAGATGTTGACAACAACAATAACAGTGCCCAACCATTGTGTGTATGTGTGTGTGCAGAAGTGGAGCGATTCATTTTAAAAAAATGGAATACATACATACATACATGCATGTATACACAAATATAATATATGTATGTATATATACATATGTCAATACATAATACATCTGCATGTATGTACATATATAAACTGCTTATATACCATCTATATAGTCCCATACATATCCATATATTTTTGTGTGTATGTATGCATGTATTACTCGCTTTCTTTTGCCTCACATCTTTTGCTTACGCTAATTTGCTTGCTTATGCTCGTGTATTTCTTTCATCTCATTTGCTTTGTTAAACTCTTTGCCCTATGCACGCGAGCGACAAACTAAAGAAATGGACGAAGCGAAGGTGAGGCAACATCAACAGCAACAGCAGCAGCAGCAGCGGCGAAGGGCTCAATAAAAACTATGGGAAAAGCATCTTACATTTTCCATCTTTCATCCTCTATCCTCCATCTTCCATCTTCATTCTCTGCTAGACTCTCGCTCTACCCCATGCCCCCGCCCTTCCTCACTAATGCCACTGGCCTACCCCATCACAATTTCCAGCCCAACAACAACAACGAGATGCACAAAGTTAAAGCTGTGTAGCTGCCTGACAATTCCAAAGTGCAATAACCGTTTGGCCTGTGCCTTTGCCTGGGCCTGGGTCTTAACCCACGTTAGCCACCGTGCATTTAGTTACCCAATATTGAGCCTTATAGAGTGCTGTGAAGCAATTATGCACTTAAATCAATTTCAATAAGCTTAGAAATCATTGAAGATTTTTTCGATCTCGTAATTTTTTTCCCTTTATACCATATATTATTATCAACAAAAAATTAGTTGTCAAAATTAAATTTTTTATATATTTTGGGAAATTAAAATTTAAAAATTAT